TGCTGTATTTGTACATCTACCAGCTCAAAACACAGGGAGGCGGGTCAGAAAAATGGTCAGTTACTTCATGGAGTGGTATAGAAATACATATATATACACACACACTGTATTTTCATGAGTCTCCATCAAAAAAAAAAACATTTTACCCCATTTCATCAGTTTCTTCTAAAAAAAAACCAAACTACAAAAGCATGTTTACTCTTTCAGAAAAGAATGTTAATGGAAATTCAGGAAAAAATAATAGATAATACCCGTATTTTCATGATTCTCCATCAAAAAAATACATTTTACTCAATTTCATCAGTTTCTTCTAAAAAAAAACCAAACTACAAAAGCATGTTTACTCTTTCAGAAAAGAATGTTAATGGAAATTCAGAAAAAAATAATAGATAATACTTGTTTATTTGTATGAAATACGGTGTGAGACACTCACGTCACGACAGTTTCAGCAGGAAATTGTCTAATGCTCACCTTTAAATCTCACTTCTTTCAGTCACGGGAAGCTCATGGAATATATCAGGCTTGTTCCTACCTCAAATGGAGCAACAGAAATAGTGTTTTTTTACATAAAAAGAATAGCACAAATTGGGAAAAAATCTTGTAAATATTGATTCTGCCACCAAGATTAGATTAATCTTCAGATTAAAGGCTGTCAGTGCAGGGAGAAGGCACTGGCCCTTCTACTGGCTCAGCCTTCACTCCATGTGGCCACCGAGGTGTCACGGGGACCGTGTGGGGAGCCCTGGGCAGTGTCACCTCGAAAGCAGCCAAACCCCCCGTCTCGGGGAAAGGCATCAATACTGGGACACTAAAGATTTGATGCAATTCAATAAAACCCAGTTTTACTGTCACTGGGGGCAAACCCTCCCTCACTCTGCAGGGCGAGCGCCGCGGTGCTGCTCCTCGCTGGAACCCACACGGGCATTTAATTAAATATCCAATCACTCCCCACCGAGCAATTAGGATTTAGTGATACAGGGAAATGGCAACGGTTTTGGGTGTTTAATTGTTAACGTCCAATCACTTCCCACTGAGCAATTAGGATTTAGTGATACAGGGAAATGGCAACGGTTTGAACCACAAATCAGGCACCAGTTCTTCCTCTCGGCCAAAAATACGCTGAGAAACAGCCAAGAACAAGAGGGAAAGCCCCCATGGGGCTGGTACTGGTGCCCCCACACCCCACGTCTGTCCCCGGGACACGGGCTCTGGCCACACGGGATATTTCCACTCTGGGGCCTCGGGTGATGCCGGAGTCAGGAACCCACGGGAAGGGCAGAGGACACGGCTGTGCTCAGCCCTGGGGTGGAGCGTGACACAGGGGAGGAAGAGCAGCTCCAAGTACGTGATGTAGCTCCTAAATATGGCTGAATCAACTGGGTTTGGGGAAATTCATGGGAAGTCATCTGATCAGAGACACTTTCAGACCCCTCAGAGAACACTACAAAGGCATTCAGTGTGGAAACACCCAACACACACAAATCTCTGCAGATTTTCTGACATTTCCCACTTTGGACATGAAGGTAAAAAATGGAAAGCATTCTCCTTTCTTTTCAATGATTAAAAAAAAAAAACCTCCAGAAGAAAAAAAAAAGTAATAATTCCATACAAGTCCCTTTTAGGCCACCCTTATGTGCAGCCAAGTGATGGATTTAAAAGGTTACTGCTGGAATATGGTTCACAGCAGTCTATCGCAGTGAATAAATATCACGTTTACATATCCATTATAACAAAACTATGTTGCACTTCCATTACTTCCTGTTGGTTTGCCATCTGGAAGCTAAACAAGCTGTGTAGTAAAGGGAAAAAAATAATATATAAAAGAATCCAATTTTGCATTTACCAAAAGGAGCCACGTGAGTTTCAATTTATGGGGGGCGATTACCAACCTGGGCAGGGAGAAACGTGCCCACGGAGAGCCAGAGCCATGCCCAGGTGGGAGGGCAGCTCCTGCAGCCACGAGGGGCTCGGAGAACCCATTTCATACCCCGAGAGAACCCACCTCACACGGGAGCATCGGTCCAGAGACCAGCCTGGAAACCCACTTGTGAGAAACTTCCCACCAGCCCCAGCACAGGTCAGCGGCACCGCTCAGTTTATAGAATCATAGAATTGGACATGAAGGCAAAAAATGGAAAGCATTCTCCTTTCTTTTCAATGATTAAAAAAAAAAACCTCCAGAAGAAAAAAAAAAGTAATAATTCCATACAAGTCCCTTTTAGGCCACCCTTATGTGCAGCCAAGTGATGGATTTAAAAGGTTACTGCTGGAATATGGTTCACAGCAGTCTATCGCAGTGAATAAATATCACGTTTACATATCCATTATAACAAAACTATGTTGCACTTCCATTACTTCCTGTTGGTTTGCCATCTGGAAGCTAAACAAGCTGTGTAGTAAAGGGAAAAAAATAATATATAAAAGAATCCAATTTTGCATTTACCAAAAGGAGCCACGTGAGTTTCAATTTATGGGGGGTGGTTACCAACCTGGGCAGGGAGAAACGTGCCCACGGAGAGCCAGAGCCATGCCCAGGTGGGAGGGCAGCTCCTGCAGCCACGAGGGGCTCGGAGAACCCATTTCATACCCCGAGAGAACCCACCTCACACGGGAGCATCGGTCCAGAGACCAGCCTGGAAACCCACTTGTGAGAAACTTCCCACCAGCCCCAGCACAGGTCAGCGGCACCGCTCAGTTTATAGAATCATAGAATCATTCAGGTTGGAAGAGACCCTTGGGATCATCGAGTCCAACCATCTCCCCTACTCTACAAAGTCCTCCCCTACACCATGTCCCTCAGCACTGCATCTAAACGGCCCTTAAACACAGCCAGGGATGGGGACTCCCCCCCCTCCCTGGGCAGCCTGTTCCAATGCCCGACCACTCTTTCAGTGAAAAATTCCTTCCTAATGTTCAGTCTAACCCTCCCCTGTTGGAGCTTGAAGCCGTTCCCTCTCGTTCTATTGTTAATTACCTGTGAGAAGAGACCAGCACCAACCTCTCTGCAGTGTCCTTTCAAGTAGTTGAAGAGAGTGATGAGGTCTCCCCTCAGCCTCCTCTTCCTCACACTAAACAGCCCCAGCTCCTTCAGCTGCTCTTCATATGATTTGTCTTCTAGGCCCTTCACTAGTTTCGTTGCCCTCCTCTGCACTCGCTCCAGCACCTCGAGTTCTCTCTTGTATTGAGGTGCCCAGAACTGGACACAATCCTCGAGGTGTGGCCTCCCCAGTGCTGAGTACAGGGGCACTGTTATATATTCAGAAACACCCCAAGGAATTGGTGTTTCCTCACTCTGAGCCTTCCACCATGAAAAAAACCCATGTCAACAACGCTGCCCATCACCACCCATCTGCCCTGCAGGCAGCCATCAGGGTGTCACCAAGGCAGGGTGACCCAGGCAGGATCCTCCTGAGGCTCGGCCCCCAAGTATTCAGAAACACCCCAAGGAATTGGTGTTTCCTCACTCTGAGCCTTCCACCATGAAAAAAACCCATGTCAACAACGCTGCCCATCACCACCCATCTGCCCTGCAGGCAGCCATCAGGGTGTCACCAAGGCAGGGTGACCCAGGCAGGATCCTCCTGAGGCTCGGCCCCCAAGCCTCCCACTGCCCTCGGTACCACCCAGACTTGGCACCAACACCCCCCTTTATAGTTCCTGCTCCCCAGACACTGAGTAGTGGCTCTGAATCGCCCACGTGCCATCTCCTGCCCTGGTGCCACCCTCCAGAAGCTTTATCCAGCGCCGGCTGCAGGTTTCCAACCCCAGGTTGGAGATGGAGGAGGGTGCAAGTGCTGAGGAGGAAAAAATACAGGAGTAAAGCCTCATTGCAGACAATTCCAAGCAGCAACGCAGATGCCAGTTTAATTCCATCTTTCATCAGGAAATGCTGAAAATTGGGACCCGAGATGAAAAGTTACACCATCGTAAGAACGGCAAAGGTCCCTGGCAATAAGCAGCCGTTACACTCAAGCCTTTTTGTAATTTATCCATTTTAGGACCAAACCGAGTACTTTTCCTGCCACCTCTTCCTTGCTCCATCAGTTATTAGGTTATTTTTAAAGACTTGAAATAAATACTAGATTGTGACTGGGATTCCCTTCAGGGAGTTGGAGAGAGCAATAAGGGATTATGACTGGGACTCCTTTCAGGGAGTTGGAGAGAGCAATAAGGTCTCCCCTCAGCCTCCTTTTCTCCAGACTGAACACCCCCAGCTCCCTCAGCCTCTCCTCGTAAGACTTAATCTCCAGATCCCTCACCAGCTCCGTTGACCTTTCCCTCACCAGCTGCATTGCTCTTGTCTGGACACGTTCCAGCCCCTCAACGTCCCTCGGACACGCTCCAGCTCCTCAACATCTTTCCTGTCATAAGGGCCCCAAAACTGGGGACAAACCTAGAAGGTTCCTCAGAGATCCTCGCCGAGAGCCCCACAGACCTACGTGCCACATCCCCGGGTGTTCGGCAGGAGCAGTTGTTCACCCCTTCGGTCTGGAGGAGCCAAGCTGTTGGAAACCAGCCTTGGCACCACTCAAGGGGACATCCAGGGCTCCAACCCAGCCACCTCCCTTCCTCCACCCCAGCTCTCCCACAGCAGGGCCACCTCCAGCCTTCCCTTAGCATTTTTCCTTTAATTAGCAGCAGCTGTAAGACATGGAAACAGCCACAGCTGCTGCAGAACAAGAGCATCAAACACAAGTGTCTGCCAAACTCAGCTGGGCAGGTTAAGGTGGGCAGTCAGAACACACCACAACAGCAAAACAACTTCTCCCTACTCTACGTTATTCCTGTGAAGTTTGTGCTGCTCGGCCTGAAATCCTAAAACACCACAAAAATCCAACAAGCCCTTCCCTTCCTTCCCCCCAGCTCACAACTAACGTCCAAAGCCAGGATTGAGCTCACAAGGGCTGCAGCGTGTCCTCACAGGGCTTCCAGCCTCCTCACCCAGCTCCAGAAACGCCAGCAAACTGCAAAAACTAAGACCTAAGAAAAGAGACAGAGCATTTTATGATCAAATTTATTTAATTAAATTTCATTGACTGTTTTACTGTAGGTCACACCAGAGACTGCCAAAGTAAACTAAACATTGTACATTCACTACAAGATTCTCTCCGATTATTCACAACTAATCCAAAACCATGGAAGTTCTGGGTCCCTTTTCCCTCAGTTTTGTGTCCCACGGGACTCGTGTCCCAGCACCAAAGAGGACGGAGCCCTGGGGGTCCCAGAGGTGCAGCCCCCCCCAGGCTGCCAGCACTTCCAAAATCCTACCTCTGTGTGTGTGTGCGCGCGCACGTCTCTCTCTATATTTACAAATCCAAGCCCCTGATGGTACAGAGGACAAGTAACTGTTTAACTGCAAATCAATAAAGGAAAAAAAACATTTAAAAACAAATTAATTTTGCAGCACAGGGTGCAATTCCAGAGCAGAGGGGGCTGAATGCCCACACCCAGCCCACCCTGCAAGCTTTGGGAAATTCTGTCACTGCCCCTAATGGAAATCACACCCCTCCCTTTGTCAGCAAGGTAGGTCCCAAATCATTCCAAAATACCTGGATTTAGATGAAATTAAGATGACAGAAGCCTGAAAGCAACGCTTGTCCCACTAAGGTGTCTGGGGATGCTGGAAGGAAACCAGGCATTAATAGAACTTCATCCAATTAGTGTTTTTAAAATAATTTGTTCCTGATCTAGCAAGGATTTTGGTAATATACACCTATGATATGCTCTGAATATTTCCTTTAAAAATGCTGAAGACATTTTCCCTATTTTAGAGTTATCTACAGGAGGTCTTTATTACACCATCTTTACTTTTACGTGTCTACTCCTAACAAATATCAAGAGAAATACGTTTCAGATGCTACAATTTAAACTTTCATCATATCTGAAAGTATACATCTTTTTTTAAAGTGTATTTTCAACATGAAAAGAGCTAAAAAAAAATCACCATTATATTCCATTGCGTAACGGGTGTGACATCAAGACCGTTTGCATAGCTTCCAAAGCCAAACTCTGGAAAAATTGCCATTTCATCAACAGAAGAATTACTTTGGGGAAGGGCTGTCCCCCCCCGCTTCACTCCCACTGCCCGGCCTGAGATACACTCCAAATATTCTACAAGTATTGTCAGTAACTTTGTCTAAAAAAATCAGCTTCTGGAAAATTTCAAGTTGTAATTACTTTTATAAATCACAAGCCATTTTTCCTTAATCTTGCCAATTTTAATGAAGAAAAACCATTAGCATTTCAATGTACAAAAGTCCAGTAAAACATGTTTTTTTTTCCTTTTAAATCAGTGAATGGGTAAAGTTTGGGTTAAACTTACTCAACAGTAAAAATCTTCCAATTTCACTAATAGAAATTTTTTTGTGTGTGCTGATTTGACTATAGGATAATGACAATCCAGAAATAAATAGCTATAAATACATTCATTGTTCCTATTCCAAAAATAATCACATAGGGAAGACACAAAACTGAAATGAACTTATTGGAATCCGTTTCTTTACAGTGAGATATGGGCAAGTTAGAGCAGAGTGACTCGAGACAGGGGCGGGGGGAAAGAAACCAAGGAGGGAATACATTGGTCCAGTATTGACATTCATGAAACATACCAGTTAGGATAATTCTGCAGTTAATTCGTCCTTTAAATGACACTACTCAGTTGATTTTTTTTTTATTTGCTTCAGGTTTACAGAATGAAAGCAGTTTCCTTTGAATCGTTGCTGAGGACAGGTAGAGTACCCTGGAGACACTGTAACAACCCCTTCTGTATGCATGTGCGTATATATAATTATATACAAATAATCATGCATCCACACACACATTGGTATATCGACACTGCATGTGACGGTTAAATCCATCATCATTCATCATTGGCAGCACTTGTTCCTCTGACTTGGCCTTGATAACGTAGCTGTGGAGAAAGAAAACACACAACGAAACGTTAATGGTGTCCTCAGACCTTAAGTTCTAAACAGGCAGTTTTATCATCTCCAAGAGACACAGGGCAGGGCATCAAAACGGCACCAGGACCCAGCAAATCCTACCAAAGCAATGCAAGACGTGGCAGGGAATCTTAATTTGGGAATCTTAATTTGGGAATCTTGGTTTGCCCTCGCTGGTGGGGAACAGCTCCGGCCTCTGAGGAGCCTCACGCTCTTCACCAGGATTTTAGACCTGCTTTGGCCAGGGATCCCACCCCCGGGGTTAAACCAGTCACGGGGGGAAACACCACTAAGGTATTGGGCATAAACACTCCAAATCTTGTTACTCTTGGACAACCTGTTTCCCGCAGTAACAGTTTTAACACAATTTAGTATTTATAAACATCCTTGTGGAACTGGATTTCAAGAATTTAACATGCCTTGAAGATGACAGTCCACAGTTTCCCTAAATTGCATGGACTGAGTCCACACATCACTTTGCTGCTGAGTGTGCAGCAAAATGATGCTCACCAACTTCTCTGATTTGGGCTCAAAAGGCTACTTTGCAGGTTCAGAGTCGCCCACTTTGGGTTTCTGTACCCGTAGATAAGCACAAGGAACCGAGTTATGTGGCCAACACCTCAGGCATTCTGCCACCTGCTCAGTCTTTACAGTGTCCACCTGTGGAGAAGGTCTCCTATGTACCCCAGAGATGACACCAAGGGTCATCTACAAGCGTTTGATCACCAAGAGGTTATCAAACAGGAGGGAAGGAAGGCCCAGAAGCGTTATCTGGATATACCTCCATTCAGGCTGGGAGAGTTGGGGTTGTTCAGCCTGGAGAAGTGAAGTCTTCAGGGAGACCTCATTGTGGCCTTTCAGTATCTGAGGTGGGCTTCTAAGATGGGGACAAACTTTTTAGGAGGACCTGTTGTGACAGGACAAGGGGGAATGGTTTTAAACTAAAAGAGGGTAAATTTAGACTAGGTACAAGGAGGAAGGAGGAAATTGTTCACAATGAGGGTGGTGAAACCCTGGCCCACGTTGCCCAGAGAGGTGGTGGACATCCCATCCCTGGAAACATTCAAGGCCAGGTTGGACAGGGCTTTGAGGAACCTGGTCTAGCTGTAGATGTCCCTGCTCACGGCAGGGGGGTGTTGGACTAGATGGCCTTTAAAGGTCCCTTCCAACCCAAACTCCTCTATGGCTGTAGATGATTCCTGCCAGCAATTCCCATCCATCAGAACATTAATCCCTTTTCTCCTTTGCCATCCAGCAATTGACTTACACAGCTTGATTTGCCTCAGAACCTACAGAGAACTCCTCTAGGCGTCAGCAGCCAAAGTGCCTCGAACGGAACCCTTCTTACGCATCTAAACGTAAAATAAAACTGTGAGCTACCACACACAGAACCTGTCGCGCTGTTGGTTAGTAAGAGAGAAGTAACGATCTACACGACCAGGACCTGCTTTGCCCTGGCCAGGACCAGCCTCAGCTACAGCTGAGGTTTTTTTGGAGACTGGGTATTTGGTATTTCTGTTTGGTGAGGAAGCCTGGGAACTCTACGGCAGCTGGAAATGATGCTGCTTAAATTTTTTTTTTAAGAGCCCACGATGCTTCAGCATGGAGCCACGCTGCTCAAAATAGCCAACGTGGCATTTCTGCCCCCAGGAAGACCTGAGGGAGGGAGGTCACAGTGCTCTGGCAGGGGCAGATGCTTTTCTATTCTGCACTGATTAACTGATGGGGGTTTAACGAAGCAAAGGTGCTTCTCAGCTCCAGAAGTGAGATACAGAAGGCACTAAGTGAAAGATAAACAGTGAGAAAAGGATGAGCTGGGACAGAGAAACTCTGCAGAACACTGAGGAGGACTCAGAGAGTAACAAAAAAGTAACAGAAAGAGAGATCCAAAACATAAAAATGGACTTAAGACGAAGAAAGGGACCAACAAACGAACTGAAATGTGCAGAGTCCAAGGAGAAAGATTAGTTCAAGCCAGAAGGAAGAAAAGGTGTTAATGAGAAAGTGACAGCAAGAGGAAGGGGTGTGTGTAAGAAAACGGGGTGCTGCTGGTATCGCTGGGCATGTTCTCTGCACTGGTTTGGTTTTATGCATCACAGAACTGCAGGGACCAGCACCATCAGAAACCGGGACCAACAAAAGAACTGAAATGTGCAGAGAGTCCAAGGAGAAAGATTAGTTCAAGCCAGAAGGAAGAAAAGGTGTTAATGAGAAAGTGACAGCAAGAGGAAGGGGTGTGTGTAAGAAAACGGGGTGCTGCCGGTATCACTGGGCATGTTTTCTGCACTGGTTTGGTTTTATGCATCACAGAACTGCAGGGACCAGCACCATCAGAAACTGCTGCTCTGCGGGGACGGGAGCAGGAAGAGATTCTCATTGTATCACTAAGCACTCACTTCCCAGAGCTCCTGACCATAAAACGAAGGATTTGGGGTATCCTTGGGATTTAATGGAAGTTACTGTTTAGCACAATGACTGAAGCAGTTGAATAATGAAACATAAAACCAAATTATCTGGGATAAAATTAGCATTCCTATTTCATTTGGCAGTGAAATTTTTGTCTTTAGGTTATTCTCCAATAATGCACTTCACCACAAAAACCTTGAAAATGCATAATTTATAGGTTTTTGTAGATAGCCCTATTGTAACAGCTGAGAAAAACCGAAACATTTAAACAGTAGGTCCCCACTCCTCTCACATTTCACAATACACACAGAAAAGCTGGGTTAGTGTAACTAACCAATACATTTCTCTTGTGAAAAACTGACTTTTTCAACAATACACTTAAGTTCCTGATGCTTACATCTTACACAACAAAAATGGTAAATGGCACCATTACCAAAATGGTAAATAATTACGCTTGATATTTAAAAATGAGGATAAATGTTATACCCAGGAAGATGTGATATGGGTTTGGGTTAAAGTAAAAACTAAAAAGCAGCAAATATTTGGCAAAAAATTATTTAAAAGAAGTTACTTACCAGTGCAAAACGTGAAACAGAACTTTCTCTACAGGAAGACAAACATCCACAGAGACACAAAAGGGAGTTTTCCTCACACACAGGTGAGTAAAGTGCTGCTCAGTCTCTCCAACACACTCCTTGTGTGCTCTCCTCACGCTCCCACTACCCTTTCTCAGAGAAACTGGATGAAATGTTTCATTCTAAATAAATAACTATGGTGTGTGAAAGAGAACCCTTCTGACAAACATCAGCTACAGAGAGGAAAATGTTACTCTACCTCCTTCACAGACACCCAGGAATGGGTGGCTCTAGGAATGGGTTCTGGAATAAAGTGGAATTAAAGAAGAAATCCATGTGATTTGAGAGAACACCTGCCATCATCAAAAAAATCCAAATGCTGATGAGAAGAGTGTTTGCAAGAGTGAGTGAACATCACTCTTTCCCAAAGCACAGTCTGGGCTCTGCTGCCAACGCAGACAAACCTCTCAGCTTGTCTGAAAAGAAAGTTTGGTTCTACCAGCTCAGAACACTGACCTATTCACACACAAAAGAGTAAGGAAATGCTTCTTCCAAACCCAAAAAACATCTCTAGGAAATGCAGGATGGCTCCACAAACTTCCTAATGCCCAAACCCAGAGAGCACAACAAGTGAGGATGGAGGAGCTACAGCTGATTTTGAAACTAAAAGATGTGGGAGGCACAAACCACAAAATGCACTTCAGAACCAGGGTCAACAGTAGGAGTAAAGCACCAGGTGACCTGATTAAAGATGTCTGGCAGCTGAAATGAGTTAAACCATGCAAAAAAAGCAAGTTATAGTTAAAGACACATCATGTCTTTAAAGAACCAAGACAATGGAAGGGAAGCGATGAGCTGAGTGGGTTTGGGGCATAAAGGGAAAAAATGGGAATGAAACAGAACTGCAAATCCAAAGGCCGCAAAGAACTTCATAAACCTGCAGGATTTTAAATGAGAAAGGTTCATGCCAATGGTCACGCTCTGGAATAATGCTACAGAAGAATGATGCTTCCTGCCTAATCTGAGATGTTCTTCTGCCTCTTCAAGGAAAAAAGAGAGAAAGAGAGAGAGTTTCCTTCTAGACACGGGTGCAAAGCCAGATCAGGCTGTGTGTATCTGCTCCTCACAGCCACTAACACATGAAAATTGATGCTATCTGAAGCCTGTGAATATTACTGACTTCCTTTCTGCAAGTGAATTTCTCCATTTTGGTGTGCTAATTGGGATGAGCTGTCGAGTGACACACAGGAGCTTGCTTGAAGACACATTTGAAGAGAAAAACTAATCAGATCTGACGAGGATTAGAAATGAAACAAAGCAAGACACATGATGGAAAAGCAAGATGACAACTCTGAGCTCTAACTGACAAGGGGTAAAAAGGCACTGGATGGGACTCGGTGCGAGTGTGGTGTGAATGGGACTCCATAAATACAGAGGTGGGTCGGGGCAGATGTTCTGGATTTAGTGGATTTACCTTCCAGCCCCACACAACCCAGAATGCAGCAGCTTGGCAGGGTCTGCCCAGGAGAAGCACTAAAAGGGCCATGATGTTCATCAGCAGTTACCCAAACACACACAAGGGGATGGACACCACGTAACTTTCATCAGTTCCTGACCAGAGAAATCTACAGGGAGATAGCACACAAATATCAACCTTAAAAAGCCATCATTCTTACCGCTTCCAGCTCCTTTTGGGTTTCATCCTCCATTCTCCTAATGTCTTCCATAGTCAGATCAATCCACTTGTCAATCCAACAGAACAACTGGCGGTGAAAGTTGGTAAATATCCTTTTTTCTTGCTTTAAGAAGATAAACAAACATAAATAAATAAACATTTGTGTGGCTCGCTCTGAGCTAAGAGCCCTGGTTAGCACAATGGAAAAGGTCTGAAAACACAAGAACAGATTAATAAAAAAACCCATAAAATACTGGAGAAACACCAGTACATGTCGTATGCAACTTTCAGCTTACAAGGAAACAAAAATCAAAGAATTCTCTTCCTGTCAAGTGTTGTTGCTTACAAAATCGAGTGTTAAACCTACATAACACAGACTCTTTGCTTTTTTAACTGCGAAAGTCATTTATTGCCACCAATGAAACACCATCACTGGTAGATCAAGACACAAATACTTGTAACTGCTGAAGAAAAGAACAGAAATTGCCTGACTGCAATCGAGAGGAAACTCCACCACTGCCTCTCCTCAAAAAACCCCCAGGGCAGCAGAGAACCACCCCACCTGCCCCCCAGCAAGGAACCAGTGCTTACCTTCTGTATAAAGTTTTCAACTTTGTTCTGCAGTCCCCACCATTTAAATTTGATAGTCACCAACTTGTAAGCGCACATTTTAGGACACTCTTCATCAGTTGCTAGCTCTTTCTGTTTATGGAGAAGAGAAAGGAAATATTAATTCTTTATTTAAATTTACTTCAGTCAAATTAAAGTATTATACTTCTTAGAAAGTATAATTCTAAGTATTATAATTATAAATTACATTATCAATTTGTAGTAAACAAAATTTAAAAAATTATTATAATTATAAATATTAAGAATTCTAAGTATTAGTAAATACTCAGCGCCGTGCTCTGACCACAGGGTAACAGGGATTAACAAACAATCAGGGTAAATCTTTAAGACAATTCCACCTATGCTGCAAACATATACTATAAATCTTAGTCTTAACATGGATTTCAATGTCATGATTTCCACTGTAATACACTTTCTGATGCTTTGAAAGGACAATGAAGCTCAATTACAATAACGAGCACCAGAGTAGTTTTTACTTTTGGGTCTACTGTGCAAAGGCAAATTACCTCCGCTTATTAATGTATTTGGAATTTTAACTGAATATAAAAAAGACAAGTAGTACTGAATTTCTGCCCTCTGTTTTAAGACTACCACCATTATCAATTTGTAGTAAACTAAATTAAAAAAATTATTATAATTATAAATATTATTAAGAATTCTAAGTATTAGTAAATACTCAGCGCCGTACTCTGACCACAGGGTAACAGGGATTAACAAACAATCAGGGTAAATCTGTAAGACAATTCCACCTATGCTGCAAACATATACTATAAATCTTAGTCTTAACATGGATTTCAATGTCATGATTTCCACTGTAATACACTTTCTGATGCTTTGAAAGGACAATGAAGCTCAATTACAATAACGAGCACCAGAGTAGTTTTTACTTTTGGGTCTACTGTGCAAAGGCAAATTACTTCCGCTTATTAATGTATTTGGAATTTTAACTGAATATAAAAAAGACAAGTAGTACTGAATTTCTGCCCTCTGTTTTAAGACTACCATTGCTGGTCTCTAAGGAATGGTGAACTATATTTTTTCTGCTGATAAAGACTTCCTAAGGTTGTAACATCAGTTCTTAGTACCTTCCAGTTTGGCCCCAGAGGTCCTCTCTTCGTCTTAACCGACTGAAATAATGCAGGGTCTTCATCAGCTTTGTAGTCCTAGAATATAAAAAAACCCTGAGAGTCAGAAAAATATCTACTAGAGCCAACATCAGCGTTAAGCTTCTGTTCAGGACTATGGAATTGATTCTCCTGAGTGGTCTGGAGCAGGGTGGGTGGAGTTGGTCTGTGCTGAATACTCCATCACACCCACTTGTGATCTGTTCACTCCACGAGAGCACACCAGGGCTCCCTTCTCCCTCACAACTCCCTTGTGCTGCACACAATGAGACATAAGCACCATCCTACTGGTTTTGTAAACTTTTGAGGGGAAGAGAAAGTTCTAACACAGACTGACATGTTCCAAGCCACATCATATGAGATCATCATCCTGAGAAGGCAGAAGAGGAGGGGAAGAGGGCATAAGTGAGATAACTGGCAAAATGGGAAATGGCATAATCTCAACCTTTGAGCCATCTCCAGGCTGAGCACAGAGGACACAGGGCAGCAGGCTGAGAGGCACAGATTTACACCAGACATCACTCCTTTACACCAGACATCACTGCTTACCGAGTCATACACCGTGGGGAAAAAAAGCTAATATAAATAGAGTTGAATAATATATTTTATTATTTATATACTTATTATTTTACATGATATTATATAAATCTATTTAGCATTTCTGTATCATAATTGTTATGCTTTATTATTTGTCATGCCTACTGGTTCCAATTAGACAATGCTGACTGTAATTGCTGCCTAACGGGCTCTTCCTGTGCCTGTTCCACTTGGAATCAGCAGAGAGGGGAGGTTTGCACCTACTTTATTGTCCAGTGTTGATGACTAGTGAGAAAAGTACACTGGTGTGATCTGAAAATGTCAATGCCAGTAAGAAAAATCCCCAGGAGACTGGATGAATGTGTAAGATTATAAAGTACACCTATTTTGAGGAGGTGACATTACTTGTAACTAGACTGTACCTTCGCACTAGCTTGTAAGGCCTAGGAGAAAATCAGTTTCAAAGACCAACAACCCACTGTAAACTTGTTGTCAAAGTAATTGCCATCACTTTATACAGTCCTGTAGCATCCAGTAACTGGAAGGGACAGGAAGAATCAACAAACTCCAAGAAGCTTACACGGGACTAACGGATGCCTCACGGCACGAGCAAGATGCCCAGGGTCAGACACACACCAAAGATGAAACCCCTCAACTCACCAGAGCTGCCATAAGGCACTGTCAAAAATCTGCAGTAAAACGGCTCCAAGCTTCCTTATAAATACAGAAATGTAACTGATCTACTTTCCTTTGTAAGCACTACAATGTGACATCTACATAAAATATTAATTAAAACCCCCAGAACTTAAGAAGTCAGCATCCTTGCTTGAAGAAAGCTAAACAACCTTCAGAAAGCAAGGTTTTTCTCCAGCAGAAAGACAGCTTCCACATTCCATACAACACACAAGTATAAATGGTCTTGCCACATGATTAAAATGAAATATACTTAGTGATTTCTACATTTGCATTGCAACCTCCTTCCTGAAAAAAATAAAAAGAGAAACAAAGCAAAAATATCCACAAACATCACTATTTCCATGTAACAGCCGGTTCATCCAAAATCCTCCAAAGCTTCAATATTAAAACCTGCACTCACTAACCAAACCTGTGGTATCTTGTACCATGAGCACTTCATACCTGTATGTTATGTTATATTATATAGAAGCTTTGAACTGAGACCTTTCAGGACTCGGTTAAACCAAGTCCTGTTAAGGACAATGAAAAAAACAACTATTATATAGAAGCTTTGAACCGAGACCTTTCAGGACTCGGTTAAACCAAGTCCTGTTAAGGACAATGAAAAAAACAACCCATCCCTGTCTAGATGAATGTCTAGATGGACAAGAGAGCATTGTAGGAACTCTTCCCGATACACAAACCCTACCAGCGTGCAAGGAAAAAGACTGGACTAGAGCCAAAGTACAAATAAACAACAGTTCTTTGCAGAGTTTAAGGAAAATATCTCTGCAGCAAGAGCTTAACTCCTGACAGCAACAAGTCCTTCTTAGGAAGAAAAACAGGCGGCTGCTGGAACAAATATTACAGCTAAAAACCCCTGAAGCCCTCTTGAAAGCTCGACAGGCAAAACATCATTATGCAGCAGCATAACAACATAGAGGAGCTAAAAACCATTTCAAAGAAATACACAAATAGGATTTCATAGGCAGTTTCTGCTCAAAATCTCAATATAATATGCATGAATGCCACAAACTATTATAAAGAATTATTTAGAGAGACTGCGAACCACACACAATAAAGTAGTAATCGCAACAACCCCCGAATCCGGGTGCTTCTTTACAATTCTTATTCTCATTTATAAGACCTGTTAAAAGCAATAACAGCCCTGCTGATAGCTCATACTTCACTCTACCAAGCAGTATAAAACCCAAAAGCGAATATACGGGACAGAATGATTTGAAGAAAACTTTCAGAACCTACCATAAAAATGATACGGGTCTGATGCCTTCTCTGCAAATCCACAGCAAAGCTTCCTGAAGACAGAGTGGTGTAAGACTAACTAGGCAGGTGGACACAATTTCTGGCTTTTCAACTCAATATTGCATTAGTTTTTTTGAAGAGAACACCCAATTGTGTGCTGTTGAGCAGAAAAGGCCCAGAGAGCTGACTGTGGAAGGAAGCACATAGGAGCGCTTTGCTCCAGAGTGGTCCATAGCTCTGTGAATTCTCCATCACAGCAAAACCACAGACCAAATGATGTCATATCACCAACTCCCATAACTGAAACTACCACCAGCACCACTTAACTGACAGGCACGTCCAGCCTTTGCTTATTTTGGGGAGGTCCAGCTAAATGGCTTTTAATAACATACGTTATAGAGTTATCCTCGTCTTCTGCAGAGCCCTGTAGCTACAGGACAGTCATCAGGTGAGCTGTTCCCTGAAAGCACCTTTGAAAGAAAGCCAAAGTTCAAACAAACAATAAAACAAAATAAAATGATAAACTTTAACCATTTAAATCAGCACAGACACACGCTGCAGTGTGGTGCAACGCACTAGAAGTTAAAGGTCTTAGAAGGCTGGCTAGAAGATAGGACCATTTATAAGCAGCTAGGACAGTATGAAAAAAGCCTCTGTCAGGGGATAAAATGTAGAATGATGCTGCTGAGCTCCTGGACTAACAATATGGACTTTTTAGATGCCTGTCACCTGATAAATTAAGTCCAAAATGGGAAGGATCCACCTATCAGACAAACAGCTTTTTTACTCAAGAATCTTTTATCACTTTTACAGACTAGGAAAGAGCATTTCCTGTATTCCTTTGTATTTCTTCAAACTGAAGAAGAAGAGATTGTACTCACTGCCCAGCACAGAGAAATCCTGTATCTCTAGTGCTTCGTGCCTGCGTTAATTAATCTGACTGATCTCTATAAAGTTGTATTTTTAGAAGTTTGTTTCAAGTAATATAATGAAGATCCACTACCATCTAGAAGACGACTTTTAATTTCTTCATTGTACAAAAATAGCTATAAACCTGATTTCAATTTCTTTGTTTGCACTCCACTCTACTTTCTTACAAATTGTTTCCAAAAACGGAGCCTCTTCTGATGTTAATTGAGTGTTCACTTCTGCTTACTCTTCAAAAAGTTTTACTCTCCAGGGAAGTGATTTTTATACACAAATCACATAAAGCTACATAGATTGTATGCTGGAGATGATTAAGAGAGGGCAGGGTTAAATTTATATCTAAAGAAAGCCACAGATGTCAGCCAAATTATTTCTATACATACTTAAATGAGCGTGAGTTCACATGTGCATGCCATTAGTATCTTAAAGAAAGTTACTATTTTGAAATTTATGCTGATTGTAGTTCTGAAACTGAAATAATAACTGCCACACCACAATGGGTTGAACAAGGTTCCTTCACTGAACGCATGGATAAATTTTGAATATATCAAAACTTTTATCAAAATTGCTGGATCTCATAGATATAGTTCCATTCTTTCAGACTTACTTTTATCCAAGACAGTACAATCGGGTTGCTTTTCCAGGCAAAACTACGACTGAGAAAATAAATGTACAAATAAAGCTTCCCTTTAGCAACACTATTCCTTCTCCCTAAAAAATTAACACCAAAAAACCCGCCCAGCCACCAAGAATGAGAATTACCAGAAAACAAGCATTAAAAAAAAAGCCACATAATGTACACAATTCCAGAAACTGCCCGACAGAGTGAACCAGTGACTGCTCTGACATCACCGACCAACAACGAGAGAACAGCAGGAAAAGAACCTCTGGACAAACAGAATCCATGGAAAACAGCTCGTGCTTTTGTGGGGGACAGTCACTTTCCAAAACCAACAGCCTTACCTGAAGGCACAAAGTGATCCCATAGATCAGGGCAATTCTGTTACTACAATGTAGCCGAACTTAAAAAAATATACAAATACTCATCAGGTTCCATTATCTAAACTTCATAAAGACATTAGTATAAATGGAAAATCTTTCTAACAGAGTCATGAGCAGTAAAGAAGGAGAAAACAGACCAGAAACCGCCTATTTTCATAACAGAAGAGACTAAAAGCGTGGGTCACATTAACATTTCTGCTAATCAATCTGTAACTGTCTAAGAAAGGGGGCAAACAAGAGGGAAGGGTGTCAGCCTGCAGATAACTGAGTTATCAGCGTTCACATGGAAGTGTTTCATAAAATCAGGGCTCTGCAAAAAACTGAATTTCTGGGAGATGAAACGAAAATCTGAATCACATGCTGAAAATTAATTCCAGGTATTCCTGCACAATGACGGGCTACACTGAGAGTCTGAATTTGAAAATTTTTGCTCAAAATATCTGCTAAAAAATAGTAAGTGGTGTTAGAAGCTACCAAAAAAAGAAAGAGAACGTAGAAACATCAAAGGAGACTTAAGACTGTGGATTAAACCACTCTGCACCTATAGTTTTGAGACTCTGTAGGTCAAATACACAAAAGAAAGGAAAAAAAGAGGATAATGTACTGAAAACTGTTCCAAGGACTTCCCCATATAAAATGGCTTCCACACAAAGATGGACTTAGAGATAAACACTCTACAGAATTCATGATGCCTTAAAGGTCAAAAGTATAAGTGGGTTCAAAGCTGGCTCAGATGTGCTCCTGGGCATGTCAGTGGGTAATGAACACGGCAGGGCACGCACAACCCCTGCCTCTGCACCTCCTTTACATCCACACTCATCTTTCGGGGACAAGCATCTCCCAGTTTCCAGTATTCCATCCTTCCCCAGCTTTCTTATCCTTCCCCAAATACCTGCTACTGGCCACTAACAGGATACTGGTTTAGATGGATCTTTTGAGCCACAATTTCTTGTAGCATCACACCCTTCCATAGGGGTGCAAAGGAGAAGGTGATATCAAGGGCAGGGCGTGAATTTCATAGTGCAAGAAGGCACATAGCAAAGCCTTAGAGTCCTTTAAACAGAGTAAATACCGATATTCAAGACACATTAATAAGCACAACCCTTTATTTACACATCCTGCTCTGGCAGATCTGGAATTGCCTGCCACAATTCCAGGCATGGAAGAGGGAATGCACAGCACACCTTTACCTGCCGGCTCAGCCGTAAGGTCACAGTGAGTGTCTGAAAGAACAAGGGGCAGCAAAACCCTTCCTCGCTGCATTAAAAGAGCCCACACACGTTTGATTGGGTTTACACGGAGGTGCTCCAAACAAAGTATTTTCACACGTGTAAATCCACAGATCACCTGTTAAACACCAGTTCAGCAACAGCACAGGTTACACACCGACGGCGGGACCGCAAAAGGAAATTTATGAAGCAGAAACCTTTCCCCTTCACACACCTTTGCCAAAAGCCTGTGCCCTTCGTGTCCCAGTTGTGCCACTAGAAGTCAAATTCAGTAGACTGATGCTGTAAATGCATTTACTAAGTTTGGAACTTTAGAATGAGTGCTTCTATTCAAGACAATTTTCATTTATTTGTTGGTAAAATCCATACCATTTTAGTCTATTCCCATCAACACAAGCATCAATGGAATTAGCCACGTGCTACACCCCCACCCCAACACCATTCACTTACTCCTGGTTCTACTTGAGTCCTATCTGCAATGTCAATATGAACAACTTCAACACTCTTCCATGTGTTTGGATCTAAATTGTGCACCTGCAGAAAGAGAAAAAGGAATGACTCCCGTGCTGTCACCTTGCACAGTGATGCATCTTATGCAAAATATATCCATGCCATGGATTTTTTTCTGGACTTCATAAAGACAGTGTTCTCAAACCCCACCCTTTCCTCCTCTACCTTTCTAAAAGGGAATAACCTTCACAGTTACATTTTGATTCCCTCACTAACCAATTCCAAACCAGCACAAAGCCTTCAGTTCTTGTGCATTCGGGAAACCTGGATTTTAGATTCAGCTGTATTCTTCTGGGTGGAGTTGGTCTGTGCTGAATACTCCATCACACCCCCTCGTGATCTGTTCACACCACGAGAGCACACCAGGGCTCCCTTCTCCCTCACAACTCCCTTGTGCAGCACACAATGAGACATAAGCACCATCCTACTGGTTTTGTAAACTTTTGATGGGAAGAGAAAGTTCTAACACAGAAACTAGTGTGCTAACATGTTCCAAGCCAATATGAGATCATCACCCTGAGAAGGCAGAAGAGGAGGGGAGAAGGCATAAGTGAGATAACTGGGAAAATGGGAAATGGCATAATCTCAACCTTTGGGCCATCTCCAGGCTGAGCACAGAGGACACAGGGCAGCAGGCTGAGAGGCACAGATTTACACCAGACATCACTCCTTTACACCAGACATCACTGCTTACCGAGTCATACACCGTGGGGAAAAAAAGCTAATATAAATAGAGTTGAATAATATATTTTATTATTTATATACTTATTATTTTACATGATATTATATAAATCTATTTAGCATTTCTGTATCATAATTGTTATGCTTTATTATTTGTCATGCCTACTGGTTCCAATTAGACAATGCTGACTGTAATTGCTGCCTAACGGGCTCTTCCTGTGCCTGTTCCACTTGGAATCAGCAGAGAGGGGAGGTTTGCACCTACTTTATTGTCCAGTGTTGATGACTAGTGAGAAAAGTACACTGGTGTGATCTGAAAATGTCAATGCCAGTAAGAAAAATCCCCAGGAGACTGGATGAATGTGTAAGATTATAAAGTACACCTATTTTGAGGAGGTGACATTACTTGTAACTAGACTGTACCTTCGCACTAGCTTGTAAGGCCTAGGAGAAAATCAGTTTCAAAGACCAACAACCCACTGTAAACTTGTTGTCAAAGTAATTGCCATCACTTTATACAGTCCTGTAGCATCCAGTAACTGGAAGGGACAGGAAGAATCAACAAACTCCAAGAAGCTTACACGGGACTAACGGATGCCTCACGGCACGAGCAAGATGCCCAGGGTCAGACACACACCAAAGATGAAACCCCTCAACTCACCAGAGCTGCCATAAGGCACTGTCAAAAATCTGCAGTAAAACGGCTCCAAGCTTCCTTATAAATACAGAAATGTAACTGATCTACTTTCCTTTGTAAGCACTACAATGTGACATCTACATAAAATATTAATTAAAACCCCCAGAACTTAAGAAGTCAGCATCCTTGCTTGAAGAAAGCTAAACAACCTTCAGAAAGCAAGGTTTTTCTCCAGCAGAAAGACAGCTTCCACATTCCATACAACACACAAGTATAAATGGTCTTGCCACATGATTAAAATGAAATATACTTAGTGATTTCTACATTTGCATTGCAACCTCCTTCCTGAAAAAAATAAAAAGAGAAACAAAGCAAAAATATCCACAAACATCACTATTTCCATGTAACAGCCGGTTCATCCAAAATCCTCCAAAGCTTCAATATTAAAACCTGCACTCACTAACCAAACCTGTGGTATCTTGTACCATGAGCACTTCATACCTGTATGTTCTATTATATAGAAGCTTTGAACCGAGACCTTTCAGGACTCGGTTAAACCAAGTCCTGTTAAGGACAATGAAAAAAACAACCCATCCCTGTCTAGATGAATGTCTAGATGGACAAGAGAGCATTGTAGGAACTCTTCCCGATACACAAACCCTACCAGCGTGCAAGGAAAAAGACTGGACTAGAGCCAAAGTACAAATAAACAACAGTTCTTTGCAGAGTTTAAGGAAAATATCTCTGCAGCAAGAGCTTAACTCCTGACAGCAACAAGTCCTTCTTAGGAAGAAAAACAGGCGGCTGCTGGAACAAATATTACAGCTAAAAACCCCTGAAGCCCTCTTGAAAGCTCGACAGGCAAAACATCATTATGCAGCAGCATAACAACATAGAGGAGCTAAAAACCATTTCAAAGAAATACACAAATAGGATTTCATAGGCAGTTTCTGCTCAAAATCTCAATATAATATGCATGAATGCCACAAACTATTATAAAGAATTATTTAGAGAGACTGCGAACCACACACAATAAAGTAGTAATCGCAACAACCCCCGAATCCGGGTGCTTCTTTACAATTCTTATTCTCATTTATAAGACCTGTTAAAAGCAATAACAGCCCTGCTGATAGCTCATACTTCACTCTACCAAGCAGTATAAAACCCAAAAGCGAATATACGGGACAGAATGATTTGAAGAAAACTTTCAGAACCTACCATAAAAATGATACGGGTCTGATGCCTTCTCTGCAAATCCACAGCAAAGCTTCCTGAAGACAGAGTGGTGTAAGACTAACTAGGCAGGTGGACACAATTTCTGGCTTTTCAACTCAATATTGCATTAGTTTTTTTGAAGAGAACACCCAATTGTGTGCTGTTGAGCAGAAAAGGCCCAGAGAGCTGACTGTGGAAGGAAGCACATAGGAGCGCTTTGCTCCAGAGTGGTCCATAGCTCTGTGAATTCTCCATCACAGCAAAACCACAGACCAAATGATGTCATATCACCAACTCCCATAACTGAAACCACCACCAGCACCACTTAACTGACAGGCACGTCCAGCCTTTGCTTATTTTGGGGAGGTCCAGCTAAATGGCTTTTAATAACATACGTTATAGAGTTATCCTCGTCTTCTGCAGAGCCCTGTAGCTACAGGACAGTCATCAGGTGAGCTGTTCCCTGAAAGCACCTTTGAAAGAAAGCCAAAGTTCAAACAAACAATAAAACAAAATAAAATGATAAACTTTAACCATTTAAATCAGCACAGACACACGCTGCAGTGTGGTGCAACGCACTAGAAGTTAAAGGTCTTAGAAGGCTGGCTAGAAGATAGGACCATTTATAAGCAGCCAGGACAGTATGAAAAAAGCCTCTGTCAGGGGATAAAATGTAGAATGATGCTGCTGAGCTCCTGGACTAACAATATGGACTTTTTAGATGCCTGTCACCTGATAAATTAAGTCCAAAATGGGAAGGATCCACCTATCAGACAAACAGCTTTTTTACTCAAGAATCTTTTATCACTTTTACAGACTAGGAAAGAGCATTTCCTGTATTCCTTTGTATTTCTTCAAACTGAAGAAGAAGAGATTGTACTCACAGCCCAGCACAGAGAAATCCTGTATCTCTAGTGCTTCGTGCCTGCGTTAATTAATCTGACTGATCTCTATAAAGTTGTATTTTTACAAGTTTGTTTCAAGTAATATAATGAAGATCCACTACCATCTAGAAGACGACTTTTAATTTCTTCATTGTACAAAAATAGCTATAAACCTGATTTCAATTTCTTTGTTTGCACTCCACTCTACTTTCTTACAAATTGTTTCCAAAAACGGAGCCTCTTCTGATGTTAATTGAGTGTTCACTTCTGCTTACTCTTCAAAAAGTTTTACTCTCCAGGGAAGTGATTTTTATACACAAATCACATAAAGCTACATAGATTGTATGCTGGAGATGATTAAGAGAGGGCAGGGTTAAATTTATATCTAAAGAAAGCCACAGATGTCAGCCAAATTATTTCTATACATACTTAAATGAGCGTGAGTTCACATGTGCATGCCATTAGTATCTTAAAGAAAGTTACTATTTTGAAATTTCTGCTGATTGTAGTTCTGAAACTGAAGTAATAACTGCCACACCACAATGGGTTGAACAAGGTTCCTTCACTGAACGCATGGATAAATTTTGAATATATCAAAACTTTTATCAAAATTGCTGGATCTCATAGATGTAGTTCCATTCTTTCAGATTTACTTTTATCCAAGACAGTACAATCGGGTTGCTTTTCCAGGCAAAACTACGACTGAGAAAATAAATGTACAAATAAAACTCCCCTTGAGCAACACTATTTCTTCTCCCTAAAAAATTAACACCAAAAAACCCGCCCAGCCACCAAGAATGAGAATTACCAGAAAACAAGCATTAAAAAAAAAGCCACATAATGTACACAATTCCAGAAACTGCCCGACAGAGTGAACCAGTGACTGCTCTGACATCACCGACCAACAACGAGAGAACAGCAGGAAAAGAACCTCTGGACAAACAGAATCCATGGAAAACAGCTCGTGCTTTTGTGGGGGACAGTCACTTTCCAAAACCAACAGCCTTACCTGAAGGCACAAAGTGATCACACAGATCAGGGCAATTTTGTTACTACAATGTAGCTGAACTTAAAAAAATATACAAATACTCATCAAGTTCCATTATCTAAACTTCATAAAGACATGAGTATAAATGGAAAATCTTTCTAACAGAGTCATGAGCAGTAAAGAAGGAGAAAACAGACCAGAAACCGCCTATTTTCATAACAGAAGAGACTAAAAGCGTGGGTCACATTAACATTTCTGCTAATTAATCTGTAACTGTCTAAGAAAGGGGGCAAACAAGAGGGAAGGGTGTCAGCCTGCAGATAACTGAGTTATCAGCGTTCACATGGAAGTGTTTCATAAAATCAGGGCTCTGCAAAAAACTGAATTTCTGGGAGATGAAACGAAAATCTGAATCACATGCTGAAAATTAGTTCCAGGTATTCCTGCACAATGACGGGCTACACTGAGAGTCTGAATTTGAAAATTTTTGCTCAAAATATCTGCTAAAAAATAGTAAGTGGTGTTAGAAGCTACCAAAAAAAGAAAGAGAACGTAGAAACATCAAAGGAGACTTAAGACTGTGGATTAAACCACTCTGCACCTATAGTTTTGAGACTCTGTAGGTCAAATACACAAAAGAAAGGAAAAAAAGAGGATAATGTACTGAAAACTGTTCCAAGGACTTCCCCATATAAAATGGCTTCCACACAAAGATGGACTTAGAGATAAACACTCTACAGAATTCATGATGCCTTAAAGGTCAAAAGTATAAGTGGGTTCAAAGCTGGCTCAGATGTGCTCCTGGGCATGTCAGTGGGTAATGAACACGGCAGGGCACGCACAACCCCTGCCTCTGCACCTCCTTTACATCCACACTCATCTTTCGGGGACAAGCATCTCCCAGTTTCCAGTATTCCATCCTTCCCCAGCTTTCTTATCCTTCCCCAAATACCTGCTACTGGCCACTAACAGGATACTGGTTTAGATGGATCTTTTGAGCCACAATTTCTTGTAGCATCACACCCTTCCATAGGGGTGCAAAGGAGAAGGTGATATCAAGGGCAGGGCGTGAATTTCATAGTGCAAGAAGGCACATAGCAAAGCCTTAGAGTCCTTTAAACAGAGTAAATACCGATATTCAAGACACATTAATAAGCACAACCCTTTATTTACACATCCTGCTCTGGCAGATCTGGAATTGCCTGCCACAATTCCAGGCATGGAAGAGGGAATGCACAGCACACCTTTACCTGCCGGCTCAGCCGTAAGGTCACAGTGAGTGTCTGAAAGAACAAGGGGCAGCAAAACCCTTCCTCGCTGCATTAAAAGAGCCCACACACGTTTGATTGGGTTTACACAGAGGTGCTCCAAACAAAGTATTTTCACACGTGTAAATCCACAGATCACCTGTTAAACACCAGTTCAGCAACAGCACAGGTTACACACCGACGGCGGGACCGCAAAAGGAAATTTATGAAGCAGAAACCTTTCCCCTTCACACACCTTTGCCAAAAGCCTGTGCCCTTCGTGTCCCAGTTGTGCCACTAGAAGTCAAATTCAGTAGACTGATGCTGTAAATGCATTTACTAAGTTTGGAACTTTAGAATGAGTGCTTCTATTCAAGACAATTTTCATTTATTTGTTGGTAAAATCCATACCATTTTAGTCTATTCCCATCAACACAAGCATCAATGGAATTAGCCACGTGCTACACCCCCACCCCAACACCATTCACTTACTCCTGGTTCTACTTGAGTCCTATCTGCAATGTCAATATGAACAACTTCAACACTCTTCCATGTGTTTGGATCTAAATTGTGCACCTGCAGAAAGAGAAAAAGGAATGATTCTCATGCTGTCACCTTGCACAGTGATGCATCTTATGCA